ATCTCATGATCCTGACACTACTCTGTCATGGCTCTGAACGACAAACTCGCGCCTGCTTTGAGCGTGGTCGCTGAGAATGGCTTGCTCGGTCTTCCGGACTTGGCAGCTTCAGCGTGTACCTGCAAAGATGCACAGACGGCTATCGGAACGATGATGCATGAGTTTCCCATTCCATGCGGCGTCACATCCGGTCCGCTACATTTTGAGACCGTTTGGCCCCGAGAGTGTTGCAAAGTATGCAATAATGCTTGGACCGAACTGCGATGGCCTATGCAACCGCATAAAGGCTTGCCAATCTGCTTAAGCTGCGTGAATTCTGGATGGCACCGCGCGCTCGACTGCTTGACCACAGCAGAGGCGCGACGAAAGTACCAAATCAAGGACCTTTCTTCACTTCAGTGGGCTTCTCATCCTTTGGGTTTCGACAGAACCCGCTTCTATCCGAGAGAGTCGGACCTGCGAGTGCTTGCTGTTCGAGAGCGAGGAGGTCCAACGGGCTTCAACGCTGCTCTAGAGGATCAACGAGCAAAAGTCATCAAGGAAAGAAGAAAGAGGCTTGTCAAACATTATCACGACCTTGCAGAGCTCGGAAGATGCTTCCAGATACAAGCCGTACTGGCCGGTCTCAATCCACCCGAATGCATTGACCTTAGAGCAAAACTAGAGAGCCGTGAACAAGAGTTGGAGCGCATCTTTCGCGAGGAGGCAATACAACAACTGTCAATGCTTCGTTGCCTGGTACCGTTGGAGCCTCGACAAGGATTGTGGACCGAAGCAGACTTTTCGCCCATCGTCAAAGCCAAGTACAAGTTTGACTACCTCAGTAAGAATGCTTTGCTACCTTCAGAAGCGGCATACCGACAATACAAAAAGTGCGCACGAAGTCGATGGGGAAATCTGTACGATGAGGGAGTTTGGACGCACCTGGCCGTCGTAGGCTACTGAGCAGCACGCCGCCTCTCGCCCAGGAGCGATGCAGCAGACACGCCGATGAGTAGTGATCTCGTAGCGCGCCCCCGCCGTTGTCAGAGACGCCTTCCTGCTCTCCAGCTGCCATGGACGGCCGCATGGAGAGAGCAACTCGGCGGGTCGTGGAGCGCAAAAGTGCTTTTCTCTGTCCCGCCGTCGCACGCCCTCCTCACCCCACCGTTCACAAAGGCTCGTGACACTCGCTTCCCCCCGACTCATGTCGATCTTTTTGTGGCTGTGGCCCATGTCAAGCGCCGCAGCCGAAAGACACTCCCAGGGTTCGAGGGTTTCTTGGTGGGTGCACGCAACTTTCGAGTTGGGTCGACGGCACGCGGAGTCGTTACAGACCAAGAGCCTCATCGTCCCCGCTTCCCGCTGCTCAACCCTTTCTGCCCGCCTCTCAGCGAGAGTTCGTGTCGTCTGGCTCCCGCCCCCATTAGTTGCGCGCTCAATCAGAGGCAAGGTTTGCTTCGAGAGCACCCCCAAAAGGTGCCGGCACCGCTCAAAACCCGTGCAGTCGACGCCGCTGCAGTGCGCATTCTCTCCCCAGAGCACGCAAACCACGGGCTCCTCTCCAGGGTTGCTCACGACGAACACTCGGAGGTGCGGCCCGCCTTTCCACGCCTCCGCGTCAAGCCCAAAGAGTGTGCCCCCCAGGCACCCCCCTTGTTCTAGCGGCAACACCCAAGGCACGCCGTCGGTGACCTCGCGCACGAAGGGGCGGCTGTCGTCAAAGGCCGTGAAGATGGCCTCTCCGTTTTGCCACCAGCCGCTCATGAGACGCGTCGCCTCCAGGAACGACATGTCGTGGTCCCGGCACGTCTTCTGACCGCACAAGCATCGGAAGCCCCCCATATGGTCGACTTTCACGAGACGAGGGACATTGAGAAGCCCTCGATCCGTGGCAGAAATGTCTAGAAGGCGCCCACTAGGGGCGTCGAGCAGAGGCAAAAGGAAAAGGCCGGGGGCAACTGCAATCGGGGGGATCTTGCTTCGACTCAACTCCGATAGAACCGCCACCGTGCCTAGCTCCAGAGGGTTGGGCCCCTCTTCAAGCGCTCTCTTGACACCGCGCCTCGCCGGAGCGGCCGTCTTGGGCTCACGGCAGTACGGGCAGGGGGCAAGATCCCTCCTTTGCACGAAGAATTGGTGGCCGCCTTCGCTTCCCGTCTCTCCTGACCGTACCTCTTGAAGCTCTTGAGTACTGGGAAACACTTCGTACTTGGTGAAGAGCTCTTGCTGAGGAACAGGGCCCCCGGTCGCGCTCGAAACAAAGGGGCTCCCCTCTTCGTACTGGGCCTCCACGCACCGCAGGCACAGAAGGTGCCCCCCACCACCCCGGCAAATGACTGCCCCACCCCGGTTTCGCTTCCGCTCCCAGATGAAGGGTTCGCTCCCTCGAGCGTAGACCGCCCCCTTCCCGCCGCATGTGCGCCCGATGCACGTCGAGCCGAATCCGCCTCGTGCAAATGCCCCTGTAGGCCGGAGGCTGAAGGCGAGTCCGTAGTCGATTGCAAAGTCGGCGGCTCCCTGCTTGGCCGCATAGGAGAGGCGGCCTCCTCGCATGCCCCCAGCATTTGGCAAGGGAGGCACAGCCGCCGGGACGCTCCGGATGTCGCTGAAGACGGGGACTCGGCCTTCAAAGTGGACCGCCGCACAGCTCCTAACGGCTTGACCGGCGTCTAGGGTCTCATGGAGGGTGGCGGAGGCGGCTGGAGTGGTCGACGCAAGCAGCACAAAGCTCGTGGAATCTTTGAGGCCTTTAGTGTGACGATTACGTCTGGTTAAGCCTAACCTCGTTCTCGTCAGGATTTCGTTAGCTGCTTGTTAGCGAAACGACAGCGGTTACGTCTTAACGGCGCGCTGTGAGACCGTTGATGTACGGCGTTCTATCCAGATGACTCGACCTGGTCTTGTCTATCTGTGATG